CTGACCAGTGGCTGGAGCAGCCAGCTCAAGTATAAGCATCGGTGCTCGCAGCGGGAGCAGGAGGCAGGTGTGCCTCGTGGTGTTGGGGACATGGTCCCGACGGAAGCGGATGCTTCGTGTTGTGTTGGACGAGGTCCAAGCACAAGCGTCCTGATCGACGCGTATTTGTTTCGAAGAAACTTGCTCAAAGAGCATTATCCAAGGTTGGAATTGCGCTGTTGCAGCGAAGGTGGTGTCCCGGACGGGATCAAACCACCGATCTTTGTCTTTCAAAGTCAACGCTCTACCATTGAGCTACGAGTGCAATGCTCGTAAGCTTGTCCGTGTACAGACTATTGCTCATGGTATGAGAGGACTGTGCCCGGGTGGAATTGAACCATCGACCTGTGGCTTTCAAAGCCAACGCTCGACCATTGAGCTATGGGGGCGCTGCCCGTGGATCGAGTGAGTCCAAAACCTTAGTCAAGGTATGTAGACTGTGTACTCGAGGGTGGTATCGAACCACGGACCTCACGCTTTTCAAGCGAGCGCTCGACCACTGAGCTATATGGTCGGAGCCCAAGGTTCTGATGAACATGGAGCTCAAGGCTCTTGAGCTTGGCTCACATCAGGTTGGCAGCTCATTGAGCGTGTGCCGTGTTGGCAGCGTGGTGCCCGGCCATGAAGGTATGTGTGGCAGCTCTCGGAGCAGCGCAAAATGGTCTGGGACCTCGTGGCAACCTGATGCGCGACGCGCTGATGACATTTGGCCGTGGGCCGCAGACGAAGTGTTATGCATCAGATATGCAAAGGCTATCGTGAGCTCGGGGAGCTGGAGAACGCAAGGATGAGGCGCAGTGCCCTCCGACGTCTTGGCAAGACGTGGCTTTGCTGAGGTATTTTCGAGAACGTAAGTTCTCATCTTAGTGCAGGAGAGTGTAGCGGGGTTACATGGGTGTGGCGCACACATGGGTACGGAGTACCCGAAGAGTTAACAGACTCTCAGTACCTGAATCGTAGAGTTAACAGTGGCCTCAGTACATAGGCTGAGGGCCACACGATATGCATTTGATTAGGTTTAACTATGCTAGATAGTTAAACATAAATAGCGGTTTGGCCGCAATAAAAATAGAACACTTCGGGTTTTGAAGCATAAAAATTATGTGTTCTTAATAAATTTGAGCCCTGGTTCTTGGGCTGTAAGTTTCCTTCGGATAAGGAACTTAGTTTTGGGACTCTTTGAGTCGTACGTCTTCCTCTGACGTTAGCTACGGCAGCCCCGCTGCATCCTGAGCTATGTAGTCATCGGAATGTAAACAGAATGAGCTAGGGCTCGCAGTGCCTAACGGTGATGAAGTGGAGTGGCAGATACTCGAGCAACTCATCTGGCAATCCGAGCGGTATCGACTTGAGTAGGTGGTCGCCCTCTTTTTGTCGTTTGGTAGGCCTATTAATCTCTCCTTAAACGACTTGGACGCCTGCTGACGACAACACCCGAACTAGCCGACGCTGCACCACGCTTGATACGGCCGCAAACGGACCGCTTTGCGATATATAGCGCGATAACCTGCCTTGTTTCCTCTGGGATGTCAGGGGTGGCTGGACTCTCGCCATTTTGAGGACTGACTAATTCTTAAGGCTGGTGAAGCAGCCGATTAGGGTGATCCCATCCTAAGTACTATCATTGTTTTACCCAATAGATATTACGCAAGGTTTTCCTGAAAATCCTAAGAGTTAATTCTACTAAGGACCGGAGAAGTATTTAGTATTCTGTTAAAGGCCTCTATTAGTCGTCTTTAGCAGATTGTTGTTTCTTTCAAGTTTCGATCGAATGTTTGGGTCGATCTGATAGAATGTGCAGGTGGCTTTAGCGGATGATTATTTTCCGGCTGGTAACAGATGCTACCAAGCTAAAAATAGTGTCTTCGTTTGCAACGATTTACTCTGCGTACTTTAAATAAGAAAATGATACCACCAACCCACGTTAGACAAACTTGAACTAATACCCTAATAACGTTTATCGCTAAACTGCGCTACACGACTCCTGTCGCGAGGAATGGCTTTTGATGTGGGGAACTACGTACCTAAGGCTTTGTCTACAGAGCTGGTGGTGACAATATAGCTCGAGCGGTAAAGCTAAAGATCTCAGAAGACTGGCAGGAAATCTATCGGTCATTTTAGCAGGAAACACGACCTATTTGACAGCTTTATCCACTTCTTGTGCATGTTGTCCCCAATGACACAAGTGTACACAGTTGCTGTATTGTGCCTTTCACTTGTATTGGCGGGTAGAGTGTTAATTCGGGCTGAATTTGCTCCATAGAAAGGCTGTCAAGATACATTTAATGCGAATTAAGAACAAGATTGTGAACTCTTCCCCTACACCGCTGATCAGTGTGTTAGATCCAACCGACGGAGATACGCCTGATTATAGGGAGAAACTATGGAGCATCGAACTTCGGAGCACCGGGACATAAATAGAACCAACTGTTGTGGCATATTTGCAGACACGACGTTAATTATTCTAGGCTACATCCACTCAGTAACCACCCCTTTGTCTAAGGGTAAAGCTGGGATAATCATCATGGAGCCTCGATGTTCCACTCCGCCAGCCCATTCATCCTCTGTCCCGGATTCAACTCCTGACGAACAGCCTGTAGAAGATAGCGTGCAGTTGATGCTCATTGCGGACGTGGCTACGGGCTTGACTACTGGTTCTCTCGTATTTGCACCTTCACCAGGGAGCCCATAAAGCTGTCTGATTCGGAAGGACTTCAGCGGGCTATGCCGTTCAACGCACAGTCGGGACCCATGGGAGCAACACTCCATGAGGCTTCGGCATGCACACAGTCAAAACCAAGTATTATGTTAGCTCCACTGTTGTCGGGAGTTGGATCAACGGAGTCTCCCATACTCGAATCTTCAATTGCATCGATGCCAATCGAACCTTCGACAAACGCAACGGTACCAACCAAATATCAACTTAAGCCACCTCCTGATGAAGAATATTCGAGTGAAGCTGATGCATCAGCTGCTATTCATGCGTGGACTGCGCGACATGGCTGCAACGTAACTAAGAAGCAACTAGAGAGAAACAAAAATGGAGACGTGATATACAGACTATTTGCGTGTGATCAATGGGGTAAACCCAAGAACACTCGAAGTCTGCGAGATCAAGATCGTGTACGTGCAAATCGACGCTCCTGTCGGTTCGGGTGTCCTATGCGCATCAAAATTGTAGCTGTTGATGGAACGAATTCTACAGGACCGTAGAAAATCATGTACACTCGAGATGGCAGTCACATTCATAACCACCATTTTGAAACGTTGTGAAATTGTGACCTCGTACGCGCTAAATGAAACGTCTCAGTTGTGGAAAGTGGCTATTAAACATGTCCACGAGTTGATCAAAGACCTAACGAAGGAGAATACAACGCAGCAATGTAGTGAGAAATTCCTCCGCTGTTACGGAAGGCCATGCGTACATGAACTGATTCGGGTGTACCAGGCTGAGGGTACTAAACTTCTTCAGCCTAGTGATTTTGATCGCCATTGGTGGGTTCGAGACCGCGGGAACGAGCGTGTTGGTGAAGTTTTGGAACCGGTTATACGAACGACAAAACGAAGAGCAATCTCGAAAAGAGCTTCACACCAAGCAGGGAAGGATGCCAACAGCACGAGACGAGCTTTCCCGCTTTGAATTGGATGCTGAGACGAGTTTCACAGATAGCTGGACGGATATGGATGCGTATCTGCCTCCTTGTTTTGGGGCTTTGCGGGATTAAATTAAAGCTTGAAGACATAGTAAAAAAACAAATGGATCACAGGTTCCATATTTACAACTATATACTAGTATAGAGTTTACATAAGTGTAACACTTTTGTAAAATTCATAGGTTACAGAAGTGCTACAACCCTGCAAAATGTAAAAGTTACAATCATGTATAAAGAGTTCATGAAATGAACTGCTACAGCTCTTAACACGACAAACTTTGCAGAAGTGTCTTCTACAAAAATAGTATACGTTTCAGAAGTATAAAGTTTAAATTAGAGTAACACTTCGACAATGTTTTTGAAAGTTACAGAAGTGTAACACTTCTGTAAAATTTCAATTCTAACAGGTTTACAGACGTCAGGTACAAGGTGTGGCCGTTAAAGAAGATGCATCCGATGCTCGCGAGTGTCGAGAAGCTGTAGACTTCCAACGGCTTGTACTTTTTCCCGCAGTTCATGTTACTGTACCAGCTGCAGGTCAGTATGCTGTACATGATGAACGCGAGTCTGTGTAGACACTACTCGAACAGAAGTGTTACACTTCTGTTCAAAAAAAAATACTAGTTTACAGTACTTCCTCTGGCTGAGAATGATTACACGAATGCTTTATGCCAGTGCAAGGTTTTTTAAACTTGGGGATGAAGTTCTTGCTCTTGCGGTCTCTCTGTGGTGGCAGCTCACCTTCAAGAAGCATGTACGTGCGTGTGTTCTTGTCTTGATTAAACCACTTCTCGTCGATGTGTATCACGTTCTCCATGGGCTCGAAATTGTGTGTTGCATCATCTATATAGCTCAGCACATGCTCCACCCTCATGTGCTTGTTTTCGGTCGTTAGAGCCGGCTTAATACGCGTGGAGCGGCGATGTAAGCGGCCCTCCTTTAGCATAGCAGACACCGGGTAGCGCGTAAGCGCAGCTGCGACTGCTGTTCGTCGCATGACAAGACGCTGTTCAGCAGGAACCTGGGAGAGCTTCTGAGCAACTTCGTCGCGGTCTATCTGCTTTCTACCTGAGTTTGTTTTTATCCTGCTGCGCCATTCGCCTCCACTGATACCGTTAGTACATGTAGATTGGTACTGGGTCCACAGCCTGCTCACAGAGGACCGATCACAACTAAATTTCCGGGCAACCTCTGTCAGTGCCCCGAGCACCAATTTACCACCTTTCAGACGCGTTAGAAGCGCATAAATTATTGTACGGCGCTCTCTATCAGTGAGGTTTCGCATAGTAGCACCAGAGCTGATGAAGAATAAATACGTTGGCCTGGGCGGGTGCTTTAAAAATGAATGGCAGAGGAGGTCGGCTTCTCGACGCCATTGCTTTTCACCTACTGCTTTGATTGCTCAAACCTTAATATTGCCCAATAGCTGAAACGCTAACGGTTCGATTAAGCCAATCAGCGCCAAATTTGGAATAGTATTGACAGAGTTATGTATTGATTTCTCCAATCGTGCGATCATTCTCAGCCAGAGGAAGCAGTACTTTTCTGTAACTAATACGTTTGCAGAAGTGTTACACTTCCGTAAACGATTTTTTTTTAAGAAAAGAAACTAACTCAAGAAACTGATTACCAGGTAATGCTATGATACAACAAAGATATACATGTACATCGCCTAAGTAGTCCTAACGGTTTTGGATTGATAACCAGATATATCTATCTTCAACCAAAATAGTAGTGTGTTCTTGCTCTCTCTCTCTTCCGGGCTCATGCGCGAGGTTTGCTTCTCACCGCGGCAGCAGCGCTGCCCTCCTTTTTTTTCTCACTAGCATCAGCTTCACCACCACTCGAACTCAAAACGTCTGACGACTCGCCATTTTCACATAGACCTTCATCAACGTCTTCATGGATTTGGCGAGCAGTAGAACCCCCCCCCCCCATTCCACACCAAGAGAAGATTCGCTCATGTTGCCGTCGCCCGTTGGTAGCTCGTTTATTTGCCCTTCAACACCATCGATTCCATCCACATCAACCCATGAGAATTCGGTCAGATATCGCGTAGCAGTAGGCCTGATAATTTGTCGCTCTTGATATACCGACCTGAACTGCGATTTTGTTTTTTTTGCGTTGGTTGTAAACTCTTTGAGCGCAGCATTGACTCCAACGACCGCAGCGTCTGTGTGTAATCCGTTATGAAGCTGCAATCTCGTAACTCCTATCGAACCACTCACGTCGTGATTAATGCTCAAAAAATTTCCTTCGAGATTCTGCGCCGACAGCACTTCCAATCAATCCACCTAAACAGTCTACAACTGCAGCTGCGCGAAATGCCACAAGTTGAGAATTATATTCTCTAACCGCCATAGCCATAGCAGTTAACTCTGCCGTTGGAGCGGCATTTATCACTGTGCTGGTTAATTCATCATGTAACTCAAAGAATTGGCCATACGCTCGATCTGTTGGTACCTGTGGGCCGGTCCAACCCGGCCGGATAGGAGCTGCGTCTTGAAGAACGGTAGGTGAGTCTGCAGGTCTTCCCCCTGTACGGGTAACAGGACGGATCACTGCGGCTGTCTTGAATGCCCGGTGGACAATCGTCGAGATTGAAACCAGGGTCCTCAATACCTTGTAGGTGGAGGTCGCGCTCTGACTGTGATTAGCCTAGCCACTTCTCTCGTAGAGATTTCCCTTGCCAATCCCGCAGCCATCGCTCCGTCGTTACGCGCTCGTGGGCTCCATTGAGCTCCTCTGTAGCGAAATGTTTTCCTCGAGACGATACGGCTGGCGCCGAAAGCGTTTTTATCCAGTTATAAAAACCTTTATGCGCCCGCATGGAGGCCTCCCCCTGCCTTTGGTGAATGAACGGTCGCCCGATGACGTCGTGTTTTCAAATTTGGTGTATTAGTGACTTTTCTATTGTTTGTTTTATGTCCCCTTGCTCCGTAGTTTCTCCCCTGATTATAGCCGTAATGGCGGCCAGCAACTGTAAAACGCCATCATATCCCCCTTAATCGGACTTATTTAGCTTATTCCGTCTTAAAGAAGGCTCACCATCCAACCCCTAACAGCGGCGGAGGTGAGGCAACTCATATTTAACCTGGAATTAGCCGAATTTAGGGCATAATTGAGGCTGAGAATGGAATAGAATTAACCCAGAATAATCACGGCAGAATAACTGGAAAGCACAATACCTCATTGAATCAATTTTAGGTTGCCTTTGAGGAACTACTTTCGACTATGAGTTTCGACAGGACGACTTAGCAACGACGTAGACATCGTAATATAGAAGTTGGCTCAGAAATGCAGAATTCGAAGCTATTTCTATTCTTGTAGACGTCCGATGTCCGTCAAACCGCTTGTGTTCGTACGCACCACTGCTAGGAGGAGTATCACAAAGGAGCGCCTGATGCCAAACGCTTATAGCCGATTGATTCCACCCATCTGTCAATTTTGGTCAGATTTTAACAAAAAGACCTGGAATCGACGGGGCGCAACGAGCTGCGTTGATTGGCCAATTTTGATTACATTTGAGCGATTGCTGCGGGCAACTTAAAAAAAAAGGTCACATTCTTATAATTAATGTAACGTTGTTTGAACGGAACTGAAATTAACTTTTTTCTTTTTAAAAAGGTCTTAACTAAACTAGCTCCCACCAGTAACGCTGGCCATTCCACTGCGCTCCATGGATCCTACGGCGCTGGTTAGAGAGTCTACTGCGCGTATAGTACAGCGTGCCGGCCACGTAAGCATTGACTCAGGAGCAGTGGGACGTCTCGCAGCGAAGCTGGTAAGTGTATTACTACGGCATACCAACAACTTCTCTTGACGAATCGTATTATATTTTTATGTTTGATAGAGTGCCAGACTAAGTGGGGATGAGCACGGGGCGGTGACATGGGACAGCGGCGATTTCCACTACTTTGAGGACGTGACGCAGGACGGGCCTCTAACCTGTCAGTATGTTTTTGTGCTGGATGCCCTCAACTTTTGCTTCTGGCCTACCGAAAAGTAAGAGCTTTATCGTTCCAGTCACAAAAACTTAGAGTTATGGCGATTGACTTTAGTTGATGTGGCAGTATGGAGTACGAACACTTGGCGAGGGGGCTCAAAACGGCGTTGCTGCGTGATCCTCATGCGCTGGATGCCAATAATTTGGCGACTGTGGCCAATGAAACAGTGGCGTCTTGGTTCCATCCGTTCACACCACCACAATTGGATGAACGTCGGCGTAAGGTCCGAGAAGTGGGCGACGTGTTGCAGCAATTCTTCGATGGTCAGGCGCTGAACTTGATCAAGAAAGCCAATTTCTCGGCTGTTGAAGCTGTTCGCCTTGTGCTCGCATATTTCCCAGGTAAGGCACCATTCGGTTTAACAATTATGTGGTTTATAGCAAGGGTACTAACATAATTGTCTACTCGAAGGCTTCCGAGACCACGCGGTGTATAAAGGCGAGCAGGTGCATTTCTACAAGCGTGCGCAGATTTTGGTAGGCGACGTATGGGCTGCTTACGGCCGTCGTACGTCGGGGATTGCTTCTTTCCACGACATCGGAAAACTAACTATGTTCGGTAGGGAACTCCTCATTTCTACTGTACCATTGGCAATGTTTTTTTTCGCTCTAATGATTGTTGGACTGTGTATTCTAAATAGCTGACTATCGAGTGCCGCAAGTTCTACGTCCCGAGAGCGTGCTTGTTTATTCATCGGAGCTTGCTCAGCTCGTCGACAATAAAGCTGAAATCCCAGCTGGAAGTGAGGTGAGGCCCCAGTGTCATTTACAGATACCTCACTCCTAAGAATATTCTAACTTTATTTGTTTCTGTTGCAGATGGAGCTGGAGATCCGCGCTGCAACCATCCAAGCGGTTGAGCTGATCCACGAGCAAATGATCATTAAAGGTCATCACCTTGAGGTCATTGAGCTCGACTGGCTGCTTTGGCAAATTGGCGAAGACAACAAAGAGCACCTGCTGCCGTACCATCGCACCTGGAGCATTTACTACTAAAACCTCCACTGTATAAATCTAGAGCGTTTAAAACTGTCGAATAAAAAGCGCATGGATGAGTTTGAATCACATCAAGCCGCATGCATTTATCCTTTATGCACTGGAGATCACGCCTGATGATCATTTAAACGTGCGGTCCACCAGAGAACCCACTAGCAGCTACACCTCCAGTCGGTGACGCAGGGTGGTGTGACATCCGACCGCGAACGAAGCCGCCGAAGCCCTTCTTCTTCTGCTGCTCCTTCTGCATCTCAAGCTGGTGCACGCGGGCGCCGTACTTAGTAGCGAGGTCACGGACAACACCGTCCTCGTCGCGGAACTCGCCGATAACCTGACGGAAGTCAGGAACGCGTTCCGAAGCCAACGCCTTGAGGAACGGAATCAGGTTCTTGAGCTCATGGTCGTCGCGATCCCGTCCGTTTGTGAAGGGCTTGACCGGAATAGCATTCTCAGGCTGCAGCTGGTAAGCGGCCGGGTCGTCGTCCAGGATCACGACCTGCTTCAAGTCGCGGTTCAGGTTCGACAGGTCCTTTACGTGGGCGCCATTCAGATACCGCGTAGCGTCACGCGATAGCACGTGTAGGGCGCACTGCTTAGGATCCAGCTTCTGCACGATCTCCTCGGCGCCGTAGTTCTGCGAGAAGATCACGATCTCGTAGTATTGGCACAAAGTCTCCAAGAACTCGTCCACTCCGGGACGCTTGGCATGACGCCAGCCGTGCTTCCTCTAATGAACAGAAGAAAGCAATGTCAGAGAAACATATACAATGTAAATAGTAGCAGTTGCAGTGACGTACGCTCCACTCGGAGTGCACGAGTGTGTCTTCGAGGTCGAGCACCAGCACAGGGACGGGCGGCGTGTCTGCGGGCACCTGCGGGATGGGCCAGTCGGGCAATAGTTTCTGTCTGGACGGGTCGGTGAATGGCTTGACGGTCTCTTCCACCTTCTTGGCAATGACCACGTAGATATCACCCAGGAACGTGGCTCCCAGTGTCTCCTTGATGCTCTTTTTGATACTGTCGTCCAGCACGAAGTTCCACACGATAGAGCCCGAGATGCTGCCAGCCAGCAGCGCAAACGAGATGCGAGCGGGAAGAGATGATGTTCGCACGACCTTGTGGCCTGTGGCGGCGTCGGCCGAGTGCTTGGCGGCCTTACGTGCCGCTCGTCGCTCGGCTCGGGGCACCACCTTGAGCGGGATGTCACGTCCCACCTTAGCGAAGACGGAAGATGCTTCCGAGACGGAAGAGGGTGCGGGTGCTTCGGCCGCAAGCATTAGACGACGAGAAGCGCCCATTGCTGCGGATGCGCGAACGCCACGCTGGGCATTCCTCAGCAAAAGCTTCAGCATCATTTTCGGATATGCGGTGTGTACGGCTGCTCCAGCCACAAGAAGACTGGTACGGTGTACCACTGTAGCCATCACCGAAATCAAAGCACTAATTTCAACACAAGAGTTACCAATTTTGACAAGTCTAATTTCGTGATCGAAATTAAGGAATATATCCTGGATGTTTGGTACGATGTACCACTAAAGAGGTCGAATGTGGTAGCATTAATCATTCTACCAATGGCGCCTGAACCGGTTGATAAATGGGTCTTCCCGGAGCTGCGTGCCGTGATCCTGCGGTCCACGCGGACACCAATTGCTTCGTCCGATGACGCCGAGAAGGAGAACAAGGACACTGACAGCCCTTCAGTCTTCCACACGCCCAGCTTCACAGAGTCCAACATACCATGGCGTGTGGAACTTCAGCTTCGACGCACCACCTGTGCCTTCGTGGAGCACCTAGCTCAGCTCCTGGAGATGCCCGAAGCCCCCAGCATAGCCGCCCAATTGTTCGTTCAGCGGTTCTACATGATGCATTCGTTTGCGACCCATGACCGCTTCCTGGTAGCTACGGCTGCGCTTTTCTTAGCTGGCAAGACGGAAGAATTCCCAGTCAAAGTCCGCTACGTCACCGAGTGCTCAATGTACTTGCTGCTGTGTCGAGAACAGGCACAAGAGAAGCTGATGACGAAACACAAGGCACAGACACCAAAAACCAACGGAGCTGCAGCTAATCGACACTCACCGTCACCTGCTGGGCAAGCCAAGAAGAAGCCGAAGCTCGATGCCAAGGGTAAACCCGTGGAGATGAGCTCCACCCTCGGCAACGATAAGGAAGCAGCCAATACCAAGCATCTTGAGTGGCTGAATGCGTTGCTAGAAGTCGTGGAGGTCGGCGAGGTGGAAGCCAATGCGAGCAAAGTCTTGCTGCTCGAAAGGATTTTGTTGCTCACGCTGTCGTTCGAGATCGGAGCACCGCAGCCATTTGCCTATGTGGCACCGCACATGGAGAAGATTTTCGCACTTGATGCGATGCACCCGGATATTTCTTACGAGGATATTCGCCAGGTGACGTTCATGCTGGTCGCGGACGCTGTGAAAAGTGGCTTAATTCTGGCGTTCGACTGTATCGCGCTTGCTGCTGGTGCAGTGTACCTGGCGTGTTTGTATCACCACCAAGTGAGTCCGAATGTAGCCACAGAGAAGAACGAGCCGTGGTGGACGGTACTGCAGCTTTCAGAGAAGGAGCTTGAAGACGTAGCGAGATGCTACTTGTGGATGTACGAAGATGAGAACGGTGAGAAGAGCAAAGGACTTGGACCTGATTTCCTGGACCTGTGGACACGATACCGACCAAACGACAACCGACCCGACCTGGAGTATATCAAAGCACTGGATGCACCCTTACAGACACCTTAATTTTGAGGTGATGTCTATTAAATCTGAGCTAATCATTGGTGACAAGTAAGGGCATTCCTCATGAGTGACATTTATGGTGAATTTGGTTAATCAAACCCAAGACCGAGCCTTACGGGGACTGTCCAGTAAGCCCTTGATGTAATACACTTGGAAGAAGCAGACTACGAGGTAGACGGCGCACTCCAACGCTCCGTAGAACATGACGTGTTTGTTCATCTCTTCTTCCACTGCAAGTTCAATAAAATACGGTCAGCAAGGATTTTAAAGTAACAGCAGAAACTGTCAGTGCTTACCCTTGATATGCCTGTCGGTCCGGATAAGCTGCAACCTCTGCTCCGATTCGAGCTCACCGAGACGCACATCCAGATGCGACGCGTACTTGGCCAACACACTCACATGCTCTACACATCAACCCCACGAATTATTTATACCAACGCCTAGTAACTCTAAAGCTTGCAAGCAACCAACCTTTCTCAACTGGATGCTGGGATTGCAACGTGTTTGTCACGTGCGTCACCAGCTTCCCGTCCGAGTCCGGATTAATGAAGCACAGTTCGTGTACACCCGATTGCCTATACAAGATCCCACCACCAACATGTCAATATCACGTATCCCTTAGCAATATCACTAGTCGGTACTCACTTGGGCGTGACGATATATTGCCCCTCTGCATCCCCTAGTCTTCTGTAGATAGTGACGCCCTCGGGGTTCTTCACCTCCAAATCAATGTGCGAGTCTGCAGAGCTAACGACGTAGGCACCGCCCAAGTCGTCGCCCTCGAACTTGGCGTCTTGGTAGAAACACTCGCTGCTCTCGCCCGCCACGTAGAACGTTAAACCCTCGGATGGATCGAAGTCGAAACTGTCTACTGTGCGAGCTTTTGGAGCATATTCCGCGTCTGCTCCCACTCCGCGCGGCTTGTCGTCGTACGGATCAAATTGTGGGTCTTCCGCAACGGCAGCAACCTCCGGATCTAGCGCCGCGAAGTCGCCTTGCGCCAGGATCCCGGGCAGCGCCAGCACTAGCCACGTGAGCAGCAATTTAAGCTTCATCTTGGTTTTTGAGAATGAAAATGATCAATCACAAATGAAATTGACAGTATAGTGAATTATTTATAATTTGAATGATATTTCAGAATTGCAGTCAGTTTTCAGAAAAACCAGCAAAAAAAACTAATGGAGAAAACAGATCGAAAGCATGATTCTTATTTTTTTTAGAGTTAATATCAGTTAACTGTTGCCTTAAGCGATTTATCGGTCTACCTCTATCCAACCTCTCCGCTCGGGTCAGCTCGGCTCGTCGTCCTCACTGTTTCTCTCAGCGCTTGATCCGAGCACCGGGCGGTTCTCCATATAGACACCAGAACGGTAAGCTGGATCTAATCATGTAACGACGCACCAATGTCATGGCTCTCGTTGGTCATGGCGCTGGTACGTCTTGTGTCCTAGTGTCCTCCCTTTATGCCAATGAGCGGCCAGGCAGCCACACGCCTGGCCGAAGGCAAGCACCATGTGTGGAAGACACTTCCAAAATGTGGGACTTCAAGGACATGAATTCTTTTACATTTGGATTCACTATGAAGATTCCATCCCAGTTCAAATGAACCGCGGTTTACTACGCTACGCTGCGCTACTGCAAGATACGATTCAAGGACAGCGTAGAATCTAGTTTAGTGAAATGCATATAATTGCATAGAGTATATAGGGACCGCTAACTAGCATTACCTCGTAGCCGACAAACAACTAACCATGTCAATCTCACTTTCAAATTTACATTCTTCGAGGCACAACCCAACTGCCTCTCAAGCCCCGCCTTCGCGCCTCGCCTTTACCGCTCACTCTCGCCTCCGCTCCTCGCCCCGCAACTCTTCGTTTGTTGCTCTTCCTCCGCGCTCTCACCAGTCGTCATATCTGGTAGCACTTGTTGAAATCGGGGAGGGGCCATCTCTTCAGTCCGGGAGGGTCGTGTCGAGCCATAGGGCTTGACTTGTACTCAGTTTCGGAAGGAGAGGAGATGTTGTGAAGACAGAGCAAAAGAAAGAGTGAGATTTAGAGATAAGACGTAGATCGAGGGCATGCGGAACGCGTGGCAGGTCTTGGGACCACCAGTTAGACTTGGGTCTTTTTCACGCCTAAAATGAACCGAACCGGAACCGCGGTTCTGAGAATTTATCAGAACCACGCAGACTCAGGATCCTGGTTCTCTGATAATATTTGGATTGCGACCTTTCGTCGAAAG